GAAGGACAGTACTGAGGAGGTTTGAGTTGCCTTTGTGAATTTCCCTCTGTACAAATGAGTGCTCTGAGCCAAGTAGACTTAGCACATCTGTAGTAAATGAATCTACCATGCTGCTTTCATTGAGTTGAACTTCTGTATGAACACACTACCTCAATCATTTAGGAAAAAGGAAAACAACTTTTCCTTACAAAAATCATAAATCCATTTGTCACCAAAACCAAAGCTTATTGGTCTTTTTATTTATTTATTTATTTATTGCTTCAAGGTTGTTGGAAAGGAAAGAATGAAACAAAACTAACAACTTATGACAAATCAAGGCCTTTCAATATTGAATTTAGAGTTTTTCAGGTGAACCCAGGCTTAAATGTTGTCTAAAATGAGATTCTTGTGTTAAAAGAACATTGAAAACCTTGAGTTTTCCATTTGTGGATTGTTTCCAGTACTGTGTAAGAAGGAAAAACACACTTCATCAACCCATTCCTAATCCAAGCACGGAGCAGCAGGACCACCATGGAAGCAGGAACACCATCAGCCCAGCTTCTCATCTACTTTCTCTGTGTTCTCTAGTCTACGAGTAGTTACACTACACTCCATTTGGCCAATTCTGTTGACTCTTCATTACTAACACATTGATTAATCTAGTTATGGTTCATCCTGACTACTACTTTCTCCCTTTTTTCCAAACCTTGTTGCTTGTTTGGGCCCATTTTCCACTCATTAGGACCTCTTCCAGAATAGACAAAACTCTGACTGCTTATTAGCAACAAAGTGAAAGATTTGCAAGGGGATGTAACTTTCCTAGTTCAATCTTCAGTGGCTCCCAATTAGATAAAGTTCATGCTCTTTTTGGAATGATGTTCCTTCATGATTGGCCACTGTTTACATTTTCAGTCTCACATGCTACCTTGTTCCTCACATGTGTTGTACATTTCAGTCATAATAACAGCTAACGATTATTAAATGCTTTCTGTGTGCCAAGCACTATTCCAGGTGCTGAAAATATATTAAATTATTTAACCTTCACAGACTCTCCATGAAGTAGATATAGCTGTTTTCTCCAGTTTACAGAAAAGGAAACTGAGACTCAGAGAGACTAACTTGCCCAAGGGTACACAGACAATGAATAATGGAGCAAGAATTTAATTCTTTAATTTAATGATTTCATTTTTTTAATTTAATGATTTCATTCCAGTTCTTAACATACTCTTTTAAGTATACTTAGTTACTTAGAAATTTCCTCCAAATTCTTTGTATTTACTGGCTTGTCTTCGTACATTTAATTTATTCCCTCTGTTTAGAAAACTTTTCCATCTTTCCCTCAAATTTGTGGTAAATAATCTGTTAACCTTTCAGTATTTAATTCAAAGAATACTTCCTTTATGCTCTCTTCTATATCAGAATTAAGCATGTCTGCTTTGAACTTCTGTATACTCAAGGCACTTCCTCTATCAGAGAATGAATAATATAGGTGCTAATTACTTGTCTTCATGTCTTTCTCTTCCAAGAAGTTGTAAACTCTTGTGGAACAATTGTGTTTTACTCATCTTTGTGTCCCTGACACCTTGTACAGTGTGAGGCTAATAAGAGAAGCTCTTATAAACCGTTGAGCCATAAATGTTCTTTGTATAATAACTACAACCTTAGAGACCTCAGTTTAGATGTATTAGCTACTTAAAATCTTAAGCATAGTCTATTAAATGAATACAATACCTAATTCATATTACTTTTATAAGCATCAAATGAAATATTGTATATAAAGTGCTTGATACACACTGCATGCACTTATTGAGTTAATATATTTCCATACTAATAAATATGACTGGTTAATGGTGTTGTGTTGTGAAAAATATAGAGCTATGAGATAATGAGAGGAGCAGGTTCTGTATGGAATAGCCGAGGGAGTCACTGAGAAAGTCGTACTTGAGCTGAGGACTGAAGGTAAGACTAAACTAGATATGAGAACTTCTATGAGAAAGGAGCCAAAATGAAAACATAGTCAGGAAAAAGTTTTGCATGTTCACAGAATTATTGGAGGATAAAATAAGGTAGCAAGGGTATAGTCTTTGTGATTTTTTAAACAAAAGGATATACATTTATTTCTTCATAGCAGCGTGAGCCTAAACATGTCTAAGAGCCACAGTATAGCTGAAAAGTCCCCTTTTATGCCCTGGTAATCCTGTGACAGTGTGTTGACACTTGTATGAATGAGATTCATAGGATACACTTCTTTTGTCTAGTATTATAGAGGCTTTTGCCTTGTCCATTTTTCAGTATTGATAAGCCATCAATTGTTATAATGAAAATAATTAGTAATTATTAGTAATAATTAATTATATGTGAGGTAAAACAGTATCAAAATGCCTGTTTTTATTACATTTGAAGAAGTGGTTACTTAGTTTTCTTTGCTCTTGGGAATGGACATAAGTCAAGCGAATCTATCTTTACCACCTTCAGATTTGCCTCCATCATGCTCTCATTTCCCTAAGTTTCATATAGTTAGAGATTGAAAACTAAAATTACCTCCTAACTTTAGCATACAGCTCATTCATAAATCTTTTTTTTCTAGAAGTTGGCTACATTACTTATGACTGGCACTGCAGGAAAACGTTATGAATGCTACATTATTTATGTATAATGTAGTCTTACATATAATCACCTAATAATTACTATCCCACATATTTTTAAACAGCCAATTCTTTCCTAGAAGGGATATATTTAGTAAACCAAATAAAATGAGAAATGTCTATTTAAACAAAAGTGTTTTTAGTTGCTAGATTAAAGGAAGCAAAGTATAACTTTTATAACTCATGGGTTTGCTGGTTTAATCAAAAAAAAGAAGAAGAAGAAGAAAGAAAAAAAAACCCAGAGTACTTCCATTGCCTAATAGTGCAAAGAAATTTCAGGACAGCATACTTATTTTTGGTACCATAGAAAGTAAATTAATTTAAATTACTACCTTCCTAACACATTTAATAACTGTATAAATATAGTGCCATGTGGAAAGAGGTGGAAAGAGCCTGGTGGTTGGTAAAGCAAAGGAAGAAAAAAAAATGTTTTCCTAAAATAATTTTCAAGATAGTTCTTTAAAGAAAAACCTCAACTAATTTGAAATTTGATGTCACTTTAATTTTTATCATTCTAGTGTTGAGAAATCAATGAAATTAACATCATAAATACTTAAAATTTTACTCAGCATAATTTTAAAGATAGATTTCCCAGCTAATCCTCATTAAAATGTAGATTTCTATTGTTGCCCAGATTTAACAAATTTTATGTATTACTTATTTCTTAATATGTTTCTTTCAATCTAAATAAGACTACAACAGCTAAACCAAGGGAATAACTGAGAGACATTCTCTTTGATGTTTCAATATTATATACACACCAAGCATCATCATTGCAGAGTCTGTCTCTTTCTTCTAAATGTGTATAGGTAACCCCATTTTCCTTCCCAGATCTTTCCATTCAGTTCCCCAGAGGAAAATCAAATGGAAAGGCAATGCCATATTCTTTCCTTAACTGAAATTAAATGAAATACAACACTGTAACCATAATGCTGCTACAGTTTCTGACACATAGGAGGCACTCAATTAAAAGTAACTCTTGGCGTTTGATCTTTTTTGCTGCCCTTAACTCATCCAAGTACAGTTCTTGTTTCCTTAGGACGTCAAAACTTATGCCATCAGTTTCACTTCTATAAAAATTGACAACACTTTCTTAAAGGATTCAAAACTGATTTCTAAAAAAAGAATGGCTTCTGTCTGAGAATAATAGAACCCTTCAGCCATGAAACATCATGTACTCTTAATCATTATATTAAATTTTATAGGACTCAGATGAACTATTCATTGATTGCAGCATCTCTAACCACAAGTAATAACTATTATGGCTTTACTTACTTTTTAAAATTTGCCCAGAATGACTTTACCTTTTGCTGAATAGTTTTAAACAAGTCAAAATAAGTCACTGGAAAGAATGTCTAGGGATTAGTGTCTGTTTCTCTTGCAAGCAAAATTAATCATCCATCTGTGTATTCATAAGAAGTATTTGTTCTTTACTTGTGTGAAACATTGTTTGGAACTTTGTACAGAACACTCTGCTACTATGCTCAAATTTCTTGTTAGTATTACAGATAATAAAACAAATAAGATAAAATGACACACTAAGACAATGTATGTTCCACTTGAAATACTAAGTTTTAACTACCTCATTACAATTCCCATGCACCGAGCAGCAGTGCATAGAAATGAAAATGCATGAGAAGTTCTCCACTGTATCAACTCAGCTTTGCTATTGCAGTATAAAAGCAGCCAGATAATACATAAATGAATGAGTATGGCTGTGTTCCAATAAAACTTTATTCACAGTTATTTAAATTTTAATTTCATATCATTTTCACATCTTTAAGTATTATTCTTCTATTGATTTTTCCCATCATTTAAAAATGTAAAAACTACTATTCTTAGGTCATAAGCTATACAAAAACAGATGAATTACCAGAGTTTGGCTTGCAAACCATAGTTTGCAAACCTTAATTAGGATTTGGTTTTAAGGATATACTATTGGCTTGCTTAGCTTTATTCCCAACTATTTTTAGTAAATTTTCTCAGATCATGTGTGGTTGAGAAAATTTTTCATAAGGAAACATTAATCAGTTATTAGAGTTGTATAATTTTTTAAAAAAGAATGTCACATAACATACTTTACACTTAGGCTACATAATTTAGAAAGTACTGGCAAACTTTGTACTGCCTTGGTGTTTTCATTTAGAAAACCCAAGATTACCATATTAACTATTAGAGATTTCAGGTATATGCTAGATGCTTCCAAAATATTCTTTAATTGTTTCACTTATTTGGGAAAGAATCCCTGGATATCTGCAGAACCTAAGCAGTACATCAACAGCGGTCTTCTGGAGCACAACCCTTCCTAAATTTATTGAGTCTCTACATCAATTTAATAGGAACTTCACAGTTTCATTTCTTATCTATGCTTTCTAGGGCATCAAAGGCAGTCCAGGAAGAACAGGACTCGCTGGGTCTCCAGGTCCTCGAGGAATAAAGGGCTCATCAGGCCTTCCAGGAAGCCCTGGAGTTCCAGGCCCAAAGGTACGTTAATGTTTTTTTCTGATGGTTAAGCAGTATTGGCCATCATTATACTTGCCCTGGGTTCATTGGCTAGATCACAAGATGGCAAGATTAATATCTTTTAATAAAATTTGGTTAATAGTAAAAACACATTAGGGAAAAAGGGAAATGAATGGTCTGTATGTGTCCATTTCCTGTAATGGCCATAGTGCATGTGATTAAGCAAAACAGCTCATTACCCAGATCTAGTTAAGCTTTAAGAAATGCTGGCTTTGAGTGTAGCTCAGTGGAAGAGAGTATTTGACTAGCAGGCCCTGGGTTCAATCCCAACACTACCCCCCCAAAAAAAAAAAAAAAAAGTTAATTTGGACTCATTTGGGTTCTTCTTCCTTCTCCGTTATCTATCTTTTTCAAAATTTTATTACATCTTAACTTGATTCTCGTTTACGATTTTTGGTTTACGTCTAGAGAAATTTTAGATTTCTGACCCATATAAGTAAATTGAAACTGATGATCCAGTTGCTCACTGTTTATAGTTTTAGCCTTCTGTTAATGTTTATACCATAATTGTCCCTTTCTACTAAAACCCAAGCAGCTAAACAAATGATAAAACTAGGGAAAGAAATAAGAAAGATTCCTACCTCTCATGTATGAGTCTGCATAAAGAGGACCTACACTTGTCAAGTCTCAAACTTACAGGTTTGTGTCAATAAAGTGAAAGATATTTGTTAATTTTACAGCATTTTTGGCAAAAGTCTACCAAGCATCATTTTTTTATTATCCTATCTATCTATAAAATTCACCTGATTCCTAAGTTTACTTTTAGAAATGGTATAAAAAGTATTCCAACTCTCACTTAAAAAAAAAAAAAAAAGAAAATCAAAATAAATGAAAAAAACTTGACTCAAAAACATGATAATGGAAATTATGTGTTTCATTAAGTGGGCTTTTAGGGAATAAAGGGACCTAAGAAAACAGATAATGGAAATTTCTTAATGGTGGAACTGAGACGATAATCATGGAAAAAACATGGGTTCTGGTCTGTACTTAGGAGACTGCTCTGTTTCTGCTATCAGATGGCTGAGTCATCTCTGTATGGTTAGGAAAAATACATCAAAATGATGTCAATTCAAATAATATACAAATTCCATCTCATGTAACCCCCCCCCACACACACATACTCCACCTTCGCCCATCCCCTCTGTAGCCCTCATATCCCCTACTAGTTTTATAATTACCTCCTACTCTCCTCTTTACACACTTACCACCACAATCTCTGAAATTTTATTTCCTTACTGCTATACCTCTTATTTATTAAAATCAAATATTACTTGCTGGAAAATATTGGTGGAAACAATTATTTAGAATTTGATTTCCCCGGTGCTTTCACTATGCTTAAGTCTTTGAGTTCCATTGAAAAGTCAATATGTTTATAAGTTCTGAGGTCAAGATCACCTTTCTTTGTTTTATCCACAGGGTGAACAAGGGCTCCCTGGTCAACCTGGAGTTCGAGGTAAAAGAGGTCACAGAGGAACACAGGGTGATCAAGGACCACATGGAGAGCCTGGTCTGAAAGGGCAACCTGTATGTGCCAATCCAGAAATTCACCAAGTACCCATTCTACAGACTAAGCCACCAGTGCCCAGTAATAATTATCATGTCTATACAATTTCAGGGTGAACATGGTGATCAAGGTTTGACAGGTTTCCAAGGATTCCCAGGCCCCAAAGTATGTTTATATATTTTCTGCTCATCTCTAAGCTATCTAGAAAAAGAGTTATTGAAATATTTAGTCTCTGACTTGAGCTTTTCTTTTTAACCTGCATAATTTCAATTGGTACAGTCATATATTTAAATTTTGATCATTTTAATTGTTAAACATGTGTAATTATATATTTTCCTAGAAATTTTATTGTACGATTTCCTTTTGTTCACATATGTAAGAGTATTTTTGAAGAAGCAGTTCTTGATAGATGGGTATAAGATTATTTTCTTTGTAAAATAATAACATAGAGCTAAAAATTTTGTCTTTTTCTTCTTATTATATGTCTAGGGTCCTGAGGGAGATGCTGGCATTGTGGGAATATCAGGTCCTAAAGGTCCTATTGGGCAGAGAGTAAGTGTAGAGTCATATTGGCTACCTAGAAATTGTGCTTCTTTGTTTGTTATAGTACTTATGAACTCAAAAATTAGTATACTCCGAATGAATAGCTTAGTAAAATGATTTTTTCAGATAGAAAATCATAAAAGTACTTATGGAGTTCAACATTTTGCAGTTCATAAATTAACTTTAGCAAAATACCTCCATAGACCACCCATATTTCCCAGTTCTTACTTTAAAAAAAGAATCATCAGAATTACCGTGAAGACTGGAGAGTATATTTATTAACTCACACTGGTAGCAAAAACAAAAAGTAGTTTCATATCATAAGCCTAATGCAACCAGAAGCCAGAGACCACCCCCACGCACCACCTGGTGGAGGCTTGCCTGTGACCAGAGCTCTTCAGACCACACTGTGAAAAATATTTTCCGATAACTCTGTTTTCCCAACTCAGGGGCAAGTGTCCCAAGAGAGTGATAAGAGTTGCTTAAGGAGTTTTTTTTTGTTGTTTATTTTTATTGATTGTTCAAAACATTACAAAACTCTAGACATATCATATTTCATACATTCGATTCAAGTGGGTTATGAACTCCCATTTTTACCCCAGATACAGATTGCAGAATCACATCAATTACACATCCACATTTTTGCATAATGTCATATTAGTAACTATTGTATTCTGCTACATTTCCTATCCCCTACTATTCCCCCTCCCCTCCCCTCCCATCTTCTCTCTCTACCCCATCTGTTGTAATTTAATTCTTTCCCTTGTTTTTTTTTCCCTTCCCCTCACAACCTCTTATATGTAATTTTGTATAACAATGAGGGTCTCCTTCCATTTCCATGCAATTTCCCTTTTCTCTTCCTTTCCCTTCCACCTCATGTCTCTGTTTAAAGTTGATCTTTTCCTCCTGCTCTTCCTCCCTGCTCTGTTCTTAGTTGCTCTCATTATATCAAAGAAGACATTTGGCATTTGTTTTTTAGGGATTGGCTAGCTTCACTTAGCATAATCTGCTCTAAAGCCATCCATTTCCCTGCAAATTCCATGATTTTGTCATTTTTTAGTGCTGCGTAATACTCCATTGTGTATAAATGCCACATTTTTTTATCCATTAATCTATTGAAGGGCATCTGGGTTGGTTCCACAGTCTAGCTATTGTGAATAGTGCTGCTATGAACATCGATGTGGCATTATCCCTGTAGTACACTCTTTTAAGGTCTTCAGGGAATAGTCTGAGAAGGGTAATAGCTGGGTCAAATGGTGGTTCCATTCCCAGCTTCCCCAGGAATCTCCATACTGCTTTCCAAATTGGCTGCACCAATTTGCAGTCCCACCAGTAATGTACAAGAGTACCCTTTTCCCCACATCCTCGCCAGCACTTGTTGTTGTTTGACTTCATAATGGCTGCCAATCTTACTGGAATGAGATGGTATCTTAGGGTGGTTTTGATTTGCATTTCTCTGACTGCTAGAGATGGTGAGCATTTTTTCATGTACTTGTTGATTGATTGTATGTCCTCCTCTGAGAAGTGTCTGTTCAGGTCTTTGGCCCATTTGTTGATTGGGTTATTTGTTTTCTTATTGTTTAATTTTTTGAGTTCTTTGTATACTCTGGATATTAGGGCTCTATCTGAAGTGTGAGGAGTAAAAATTTGTTCCCAGGGTGTAGGCTCCCTATTTACCTCTTTTATTGTTTCTCTTGCTGAGAAAAACTTTGTAGTTTGAGTAAGTCCCATTTGTTGATTCTAGTTATTAACTCTTGTGCTATGGGTGTCCTATTAAGGAATTTGGAGCCCAACCCCACAATATGTAGATCGGAGCCAACTTTTTCTTCTATCAGACGCAGAGTCTCTGATTTGATATCAAGCTCCTTGATCCATTTTGAGTTAACTTTTGTGCATGGCGAGAGAAAGGGATTCAGTTTCATTTTGTTGCATATGGATTTCCAGTTTTCCCAGCACCATTTGTTGAAGATGCTATCCTTCCTCCATTGCATGCTTTTAGCCCCTTTATCAAATATAAGAAAGTTGTAATTTTGTGGATTGGTCTCTGTATCCTCTATTCTGTACCATTGGTCCACCTACCTGTTTTGGTACCAGTACCATGCTGTTTTTGTTACTATTGCTCTGTAGTACAGTTTGAAATCTGGTATCGCTATACCTCCTGATTCACACTTCCTGCTTAGAATTGCTTTTGCTATTCTGGGTCTTTTGTTTTTCCATGTGAATTTCATGATTGCTTTCTCTATTTCTACAAGAAATGCCGTTGGGATTTTGATTCTCATTGCATTAAACCTATAGAGAACTTTGGGTAATATTGCCATTTTGATGATGTTAGTTCTTCCTATCCATGAACAGTGTATATTTTTCCATCTTCTAAGGTCTTCTTCTATTTCTCTCTTTAGGGTTCTGTAGTTTTCATTGTATAAATCTTTCACCTGTTTTGTTAGGTTGATTCCCAAGTATTTTTTATTTTTTGAGGATATTGTGAATGGGGTGGTTGTCCTCATTTCCATTTCAGAGGATTTGTCGCTGATATACAGGAATGCCTTTGATTTATGCGTGTTGATTTTATATCCTGCCACTTTGCTAAATTCACTTATTAGCTCTAATAGTTTCTTTGTAGACCCTTTTGGGTCTGTTAGATATATTATCATATCATCCACATATAGTGATAATTTAAGTTCTTCTTTTCCTATTTTTATGCCTTTAATTTCTTTTGTCTGTCTAATTGCTCTGGCTAGTATTTCGAGGACTAAATTGAATAGAAGTGGTGAGAGAGGGCATCCCTGTCTTGTTCCAGATTTTAGAGGGAATGCCTTCAGTTTTTCTCCATTCAGAATGATGCTAGCCTGAGGCTTAGCATATGTAGCTTTTACAATGTTGAAGTAAGTTCCTGTTATCCCTAGTTTTTCTAGTGTTTTGAACATAAAGGGATGCTGAACTTTGTCGAATGCTTTTTCTGCGTCTATCGCGATGATCATGTGGTTCTTATGGTTATGTCTATTGATGTGGTGAATAACATTTATTGATTTCCGTATATTGAACCAGCCTTGCATCCCGGGGATGAATCCTACTTGATCATGGTGCACAATTTTTTTGATGTGCTTTTGTATTTGATTCGCCAGGATTTTATTGAGGATTTTTGCAACTAAGTTCATTAGAGATATTGGTCTGTAGTTTTCTTTCTTTGAAGTGTCTTTGTCTGGTTTCGGGATCAGGTTGATGTTGGCCTCATAGAATGAATTTGGAAGAGCTCCTTCCTTTTCTATTTCTTGAAATAACTTGAAAAGTATTGGTATTAATTCTTCTTTGAAGGTTTTGTAAAACTCTGCTGTATATCCATCCGGTCCATGGCTTTTCTTGGTTGGTAGTCTTTTGATGGCTTCTTCTATTTCCTCCTTTGTTATTGGTCTGTTTAAATTGTGTGTATCTTCCTGACTCAATCTGGGCAAATCATATGACTTAAGAAATTTATTGATATCTTCGCTATCTTCTATTTTATTGGAATATAGGGTTTCAAAATAATTTCTAATTATCTTCTGTATTTCTGTAGTGTCCGTTGTGATATTGCCTTTTTCATCCCGTATGTTAGTAATTTGAGCTCTCTCTCTTCTTCTCTTCGTTAGCATGGCTAAGGGTCTCTCGATCTTATTTATTTTTTCAAAGAACCAACTTTTAGTTTTATCAATTTTTTCAGTGGTTTTTTTTTTGTTTCAATTTTGTTGATTTCCGCTCTGATTTTAATTATTTCTTGCCGTCTTCTACATTTGCTGTTGTTTTTCTCTTCCTTTTCTAGGGTTTTGAGATGAAGTGTGAGTTCATTTATTTGTTGGTTTTTTCTTTTTTTGAGGAATGAACTCCAGGAAATGAATTTCTCTCTTAAAATTGCTTTCATTGTGTCCCATAGATTCCGATATGTTGTGTCGATATTTTCATTTATCTCCAAGAATTTTTTGATTTCCTCCTTTATGTCTTCTGTAACCCATTGATCATTCAGTAACATATGGTTCATTTTCCAGGTGATGCAGGATTTTTCCTTCCTTCTTTTATCATTGATTTCCAGTTTCATTCCATTATGATCAGATAAGATGCATGGTATTATCTCCACACCTTTATATTTACTAAGAGTTGCCCTGTGGCATAATATCTATCTATTGATAGATAATGTCTATCTTTGAGAAGGATCCATGTGCTGCTTAGAAGAACGTGTATCCACTTGATGATGGTTGATATATTCTATATATGTCGGTTAAGTCTAGGTTATTGATTGTGTTATTGAGTTCTATAGTTTCTTTATTCAGCTTTTGTCTGGAGGATCTGTCCAATGGAGAGAGCAGTGTGTTGAAGTCACCCATAATTATTGTGTTGTGGTCTATTTGACTCTTGAACTTGAGGAGAGTTTGTTTTATGAACGTTGCAGCACCATTGTTTGGTGCATACATTTTGATAATTGTTATGTCTTGTTGGTGGATGGTTCCTTTTAACAGTATATAGTGTCCTTCTTTATCCCTTTTGATTAACTTCGGTTTGAAGTTGATTTTATTCGATGTGAGTATGGCCACTCCTGCTTTCTTCTGAGGACCATGTGAGTGGTATGATTTTTCCCAACCTTTCACCTTCAGCCTGTGTATGTCTTTTCCTATCATATGAGTCTCCTGAAGGCAGCATATTGTTGGATTTGTTTTTTTAATCCAGGTTACTAGCCTATGTCTCTTGATTGGTGAATTTAAGCCATTAACGTTTAAGGGTACTATTGATATATGGTTAGTACTTCCCCTCATGCTTGTTTATTTATTTATTTTAATATGGCTAGTTTTTCCTTTTTGGTTATTTTTTTTTCCTTCCCTTTACTGAGTTACCTCCCACTGTTAGTTTTGAGTGCTGTTTTTTAATTCCTCTTCTTGTAGTGTTTTGCTCAAGATGCCTTACAGTGCTGGTTTTCTGGCTGCGAATTCTTTTAACTTTTGTTTATCATGAAATATTTTAATTTCATTGTCAAATCTGAAGCTTAATTTTGCTGGATACAGTATTCTTGGTTGTAATCCATTATTTTTTAGCGTTTGAAATACGGTGTTCCAGGATCTTCTCGCTTTCAACATCTGTGATGAAAAATCAGCCGTTAACCTAATTGGTTTACCCCTGAATGTAATCTGCCTCCTTTCTCTCATAGCTTTTAATATTCTCTCCTTGTTCTGTATGTTGGATATCTTCATAATTATGTGTCTTGGAGTTGGTCTATTACGGTTTTGAATGTTTGAGGTCCTGTAGGCTTCCAGGATTTGGCAATCCATTCCATCTTTCATATCTGGGAAGTTTTCTAGGATTATTTCATTCAATAGATTGTTCATTCCTTTGGTTTGAACCTCTATGCCTTCATCTATCCCAGTGACTCTCAAGTTTGTTTTTTTTATGACATCCCATGTCTCTTGAATAGATTGCTCGTGAATTTTAAGCATCCTTTCTGTGTTGACTATATTCTTTTCAAGTTGATAAACTTTGTATTCATTATCTGATGTTCTGGCTTCTACTTGATCTGGTCTATTTGTAATATTCTCGTTTGAGTTTTTAATTTGGTTTATGGTTTCCTGCATTTCTAGGATTACTGTTTGATTTTTTTTTTTTTTAAATCTCTATCTCCTGGTAGAGCTCGTTCTTTGCCATTTGAATTTGCTTATTTAATTCGTTTTCAAAATATACTTTCATTGTTTGAACTTGCTGTCTAATGTCTTCTCTAAGATTCCGTTCCATCTGAGTTAGGTATGCCTTGAGTTCTTTCTCTGTCCATTTTTCTGATGCCTCTAGGTTCTCCTGTGTATTTAAGTTGTCCTGCATTGTTTGTAATCCTTTTTTCCCTTGTTTTTTCATGGTGCTCAAGTTACTTTCCAACTCTGTTTGACGGCTGTGTTTCTGTTTTCTCCTTTAAATTTGTTTTGGTTTTTATAGTTCCACTATCTCTCCTTTGTGTTAGGAGACAATGTTTAGAGATGTTGGATTTAATTGTGATTTAAGGTAAATTCATTAGTTTCATTAAAGGCCTTCAGATTTTGATAGCATATAGAGAATTGAGGTTTGGACTTAGGATTTTATGTTAAGGTCGGGCGATTTGATGGTATGGAGGTTAGTATATGTTAGCTTCTTTGGGGGGTTGCTCAAATGCAGGCGGATATTAACAAGAGAATAGACAGGAGTACTTGGGGGTAGTTAAGGGCTTAGGCGGACTATAGAACTATTCGTAGTATTCATCTATTTGCATTTAGTAAGTTATATGTAATCTGGTGTTCATACTTAGTTTAAGGAGTTTTAAAATCAGGGTCTGAAGAACTCCAGATAACATTGTAGTGCCTATAGTTTCTAACTCTAGAGAATATAAATAAACTATCAGCAGTTAATGGTTATTACTTTTATTTTGTTTTTATTAATCATAGTCTGCTAATTGATGAGATATTTTATAAAACTGAAACTTTAATGTCATCTGTATGGCTAACTACAACTGCCAAGGCAAATGTGGAGAAAACAGAGAGGAAGACAGGAAACAGCTCAGATGCAGTAGAAAGGAGTCCTGAAAAACTTTACAACTGAAAACCACTGTCCTAAAGAAAATATAAATCAAAATTTTAAAATTTTTTTTCAGAATTTTTTTAGAATATTTCTTTAGCATTCTGTAGTTTTCATTGTAGAGGTCTTTCACCTCTTTCATTAAGTTGATTCCCAAGTATATTTTTTTATGCTACTATAAATGGGGTAGTTTTCCTCATTTCCCTTTCAGAGGATTTGTCACTGGTACTCAGAAATGCCTTTGATTTATGGGTGTTGATCTTGTGTCCTGCTACTTTGCTGAATTCATTTACTAGTTCTAGAAGTTTTCTGGTGGAACTTTTTTGGTCTTCTAGGTATAGAATCATATTGCCAGCAAATAGTGTTAATTTGAGTTCTTCTTTACCTTCCCTTTAATTTCTTTAGTCTGTCTAATTGCTCTGCCCAGTGTTTCAAGAACTGTTAAATAGAAATGGTGAAAGAGGGCATCCCTGTCTTGTTCCAGTTTTTAAAGGGAATGCTTTCAATTTTGACTACCATATTTACAAATTATCACTTGAAGTCAATTTCTGTGTTTACAAAGTATTCTCTTAGATTTAGACCAACAAATAACTTCACTTTAAGCCAATTAATATTAAAACTATCGACCAATAGACCACATGATGTTATAATTATTTCAAATGACAATACTCTATTCTCTATACCTTTGTAAGAGTCAGAAAAAGATAAAGCCTGTTAGATATCTACATTTATGTATTAGGTTAAATGTTAGCCAGAGAGACAATTTTACAGGCAGTATAAATTGAAGTGAAAATTGTTGGGAAACACTAAAACAAGGATTTTGTATTCATTGAGAAACAATAGGCATCATACCTAGTATGGAAGGAATGTGCAGGGGCTTGAACTCATTAAGGTTATCTTCATAAGCAAATATCATCTTACAGTTTAAAAGGCTCTTTTCACATTTAATTTCACAGTGGCCCTATTTTACCGATAAAGAAACTAAAGTTTGGTTGGTTATATATGATATCCCCCAATTCTTTCCTATATTGTCCATTATACACCTCAGTTCACTCAAACATTTGTTCCTTCAGCGTGTGTACAAAAATTTGTTCAAAATTTTGTTCATCATTCTATTCTTTTTAAAATAGTTTCATTTGTTATGTAATGACACATGTATAATATGTATATATCATTTGACTTATCACCACATAAACATTCTGATTCTAATTTGTAATTGTTGGAAATTATACATATACAGCTGTCCAGAAAGGAAACTATAATAGTATGTACAATTGTGTCACATACTGTTAACCAAGATCACTACAATTTATAGTAATACAACAAGATTTTATCATAAAACCATAGTTATTTACACATGGCTATTTTACCATTGCACAAAATATTTCTTTGAAATTTTTCTGAATTATACTGAGAATGAGACTGACTGCTTTTCTTTAATCCCAACAGGGAAATACTGGCCCTCTTGGCAGAGAAGGTATAATAGGCCCAACTGGCAGAACTGTAAGTTTGTCACAATACAATTCTTTTCTTTGTTTTTCATACTCTTTTTTGTTGTTGTTGTTGGTGGTGGTGGTGATGGTGGTATTTATTCCTATTTCTAGAATAAGTCACAGAGTAACATCCTGGATATTTGAGAAGTAAAAGACAAAAATACATATACATTTTTCTGGAAGGTCATTACTGAGAACTTAGGGATCCTATATGTAATGAAGAAAGGGTGAGCAATGAAGCTGACACCTAAAACTGGAGCTGAGTAAAGAAAATAGAACAGAGTCTAGGAGTGGAGTGTCACAAGCATAGAAATGATCACTGAGGCTATAAAAATGGGTTTGTTTTCTGAAAAAAAAATAAAGATAGCAAAGAAGTACAGACCACCAAGATTTGAGTCTCAGGAAGAACCCAGTTTAAAGGAAAGAAAAAGAGAATGGTATAACCAGGAGGAAAATCAGGATAGTCCCAGCTTAGGTAAATGGAAGTTTTGAGAAAGGAGTAGTCAAGAGTGATCTTTTTTTTAATATTTATTTTTTAGTTGTAGTTGGACACAATAACTTTATTTCATTAATTTATTTTTATGTGTTGCTGAGGATCGAACCCAGGGCCTCGCACATGCTAGGCGAGCACTCTACTACTGAGCCACAATTCTAGCCCCTCAACATTGATCTTTGAGGGAGCAAGTTGCAGTAGACAATGTAGTGAAGACTACAGTGAAGAAAGGATAGATAAAATATTTAATGACATTTCTCAAAAATTTTTAACTCCTATAGGGTGTTTTGGTTTTGTTTTGTCTTCCACTCCACCCTACAAACACAATTTTTCTCAAATTCTCATAGCAAACTTTGGAGTAGATATTATTATTTCTCTTAAATAGATGAGGAAATAGTTAAGAGATATAGTTATTCAAAGTAATAGAGCTACTGAATTACATATCTGATGTTTCTTACTTCAAAACCAGTGCTTTTTACCCTTTTCAAGCTATATCTGAAGAGGAAACAGATCATATATTGCAGGGCTTCCAGAAATATGGCTATAAAGTAAAACAAAGAAATAAGATAGTGACTGGGGAGATGGTCATGGGAAAGTTTTGCAATAACCATAACAGTGCAAACAAGAGAAGGAGTACAGAAAGGGCCAGATTGAAACTTAGGGAGGAAAGATTCATTCCCTTAGGGAAGTCAGTATTTTGAATCATTTAAAATTATTATATATAGACACAGAGATAGAAAAAATAAAGGTAGAATGCTTCACGTATTAAGTACAACTATTCTCTAATAAATTTGGAGAACTTGCCACCAAAGTTATTGGATTTTTAATCAAAAGAAAGAAAATGTGTAACTCAACATTCTCTACACTTCCAATATTTGCCACTCAGAGCCATATAAGATTTTAAGTGGGAAAATTCTCATATTTCAGTGCGTGGTTCTTTAGCTAGCTAAGGAACACATACTGTTTTGATTATGGAATGATTGTTCTCTTCTGTCATATATTAATTGGTCAAGGAAAATGTGATCAAGAAATGTCTTAATTAAAATATTTCACTATGCTTTGTTTATAAACAGTTCTTAAAAGCCCTTATAAAATCCAGCATGCACATCAAATTTTTTCCATCTTCTATTTTTTTCCTTTCTAAAAAGAAAAGTTTATTATGAAAAACTAAGTATTTGAGAATGGCAAAACATTGTGGAAAAAATAGTGGTGTGGGTAAGGGACTTGTCATTGTAAATGAAATTATATGGTAGTATAAAATAAATAATCAGATCGGTATAACAGACTAGAAAATATAGGAATTAGATCTAAGACTATATATAAATTTATTGTAACAAAAATAGTATATCCATTAGGATGGTTTGGCTAGAAGTAATAGGAACCCTAAATCAAATTGGCTTTAATAGAAATTTATGTCACATAATAGGAAGCCCAGTGGTAAGAAGGACTTCAGATTTGGTTTGTGACTCAATTATGTTGTCCAAGACCTTTGCCTTTCCATATCTCTACTCTCCTAAACCTGAATGTTACTTTCATTTGTAAGCTTATAGCAAGAAAATTACAATTTCTTAGAAATCATATTTAGACATTGCAAATTTCTCATATCTAATTGACCAGCCTTCAGCCGCATGCCTGCACCTATATTAGGAGAGAAGATGGAATTACTTTGAGTACCATTATTGCTGTAAGAAATTAGAACCCCAAAAAACAGCAACAAAAAAAATTAATCCTTCATGAACTTGTAAAGACTTTAATATAACAAATTAAATAGTAAAAATCTTATTACATTTATGTAGAAAACTTAAGTACAGATTAAGTGTTGGGAAGACCTTATTTATAAGATAAGAAATCGGAAAATTTTAAAATAAAAAAGCAGAAAACCTACTTGAATATTGAAATAGTCAATAAAAATCTACATGAATTTTGTGTGGGAAAATGTTCCCTAAATAAAATCAAAAGTTAATATAGAGTGGGGGAAAATATTTGTAAAGCATACAACATAAAACAGTTTACTACACAAAGAGCTCTTTAAATTTGGTATAAAAAAGTTCAAAAACTCAATAGAAAAATGAAAAATAAGTTGAAAAAAGTCAGTAGTTATTTTAAAAGAGAACCACCTAATTTTAAGTTAGAAATGCAAATTAATTCCATCTAACACAAATTATATCTAGCCTCTCAAAAGAAGATATAGGGAGATCAGTACTCTAATTTTCCACTGGTTTAAAGTGAATTACAGGCTTTATGGAAAGATATTTGTTCAAATATAGATCCATTTGTCCTTTAATCAAGCAATTCCTTTTGAGGAATTTGACCCAAAGTTACAGACGCACCTAATACATTAAAGAATCTTTATACAGTTTTTGTTTGTTTTGTTTTGTCTTGGTACCAGGGATTGAAACCATGGTGCTTAACCACTGAGCTACATTCCGAGGTGGTTTTTGTTGTTGTTGTTGTTGTTTGTTTTTGAGACAGGGGAGGGATTTTTTTTGAGACAGAGTCTCACTAAGTTGTTTAGCCTTGCTAAATTGCTGAGTTTGTCCTTGAACCTCTCCTACCTCAGCCTCCTTTGCCTCTAGGATTATAGGCATGCTTTACATTCAGTGGAATTTTTTTATTTTTAAAACACTGTATTAACCAAAAGAAAAAAAAAGAAAGAAATCATGTGAATGATCATTTATAAAGGAATGGTTGAGGAAATTGTGATCTAGTCATTTCATGGAATATTATGGAATTATTAAAAAGAATTAGCTTCATCTACTTTGGCTGATTTTCGGTTATTGTGTGATGTATTAAGTGGAAAATCATGATGTATCAAAAAGTATATAATATTACCCCAGTGTTATAAAATATGACCAATATCTCCCATGCATATGTGAATGTATTTGTCAATATTTGAATAGAAAAAAGTACAAAGAGATATGTACCATATTGTTAACACTGGATTGAAAGAGGAAGAAGATAGGAGGAAATACCATAGAGATATTTTAAAAGTTAATACTCTAGTTTAAAACAGATTTAGGACAAGTCAGGAAACACAAAAGAAGTGATATAAATGGCCAATAAATAATAGAAGTATTTTTACCTTGCAAACAAAGTATATGGCATGAATGGGAAGAAACATGATTCACTGGCCCATGTTTCGCAGGTACGCATGCAATTTCACACAGACTTTCAGGGACAGAATTTTAACAAAAATTTCAGAGGACAAAAATGTTTATACCAGTGCTGTTAATAATGAAAGCAATTAGAAAAATCTCATAAATTAAAATTAAATAATATACTGTAATTGGTAAATATTACGTATTATGATTATCTAGAAGAATGTGGACTGACATGGAAGAGTGTCCACATTATATTATGAAGGTGTAAATTCAGGTTGCAGAAAAGATTAAATAGTTTTATCTCATTTTTTTGCCATAAAATATATAATTCCACATGAATGAACACAGAAAAAGCAGAAAGTCTACTCAACATCACCAGATTACCCATTAGTTTCAAAGTGCATGTTGAACATTCATCAAAATATATGCTCTTTTAGGTTATAAAAACAAGTTTACTAAAAAGAACTGAAGTCATACAAGTTGTCATACAGTTCTCTGGCCATAATGGAATTAAAGTAAAAATCAAAAAAAGAAAGATAATAAGAAAAGCTCTAAACACTTGAAAATTAAACCACACATTTATGAATAATTCATGGATCAAAGAGGAAGTCTCAAAGGTAGAAAATATTTTGAACTGAATGAAAATGTATACAACAACAAAATATATGGAATGGAATTCAAAAAAGGGAACTGAAAGAGAAGAAGGAATGTACTCTAGAGGGTTTTCAAAGGCTGAGAGAAACAAATAACAGAATATAACCTGAACTTATAAAGATTCTCCCTTATAAGACATAAAAACAGCATACTACAGGGACACAGCCACATCAATGTTTATAGCAGCATAATTCACAATAGCTAAACTGTGGAACCAATCTAGATGCCCTTTAGTTGATGAAAGAATAACGAAAATGTGGTATATATACATAATGGAGTACTATTCAGCATTAAAAGGGAATAAAATTATGGCATTTGCAGGTAAATGGATGGAGTTGGAGAATATAATGCTAAGTGAAGTTAGCCAATCCCCAAAAAACAAATGCTGAATATTTTCTCTGATTTAAGGATGCTGATTCATAATGTGGTTAGTGGGTAGGGGGAATGGAGAGGATGAACTCTAGAGAGGGCAAAGGGAGGGAGGGGAAGGGAGGGGGCATGAGGGAAGGAAAGACAGTGAAATGAGATGGACCTCATTATCCTAAGTACATGTATGAAGACACAAATGGTGTGACTCTACTTTGTGTATAACCAGAGATGTGAAAAATTGTGCTCTATATGTGTAATATGAATTGTAATGCATTTTGCTGTCATAATAACAAATTAAAATTTAACAAAAGAAAATATTAAGAGTAAAAAAATATAAATCACTAATACCTAATAAAAATATGCGACTTTGCAAATAAATGATAATGCAGTTAGAAAAGTATTTCACTTACCTAAAGGGTTAAATGAACTGAGAATGAAATTTTATCCTTAAAAAAAAAAAAAAAGTTTCTGCCTTCTAAATTGTTTTGTATGGTTGTCATATCCACTATCCTGACTTGAGTGATTGACTATCTTTTTATTCCAATGTCATTTTAAGGTGGAACTAATTGGGATAATTTACAGATAGAATAATGAATCAATAGGTTTGGAAGATTTTTGTTTATTTGTTTTATATTGGTTTGTTTTGGTTTGGTTTTGCTTTGCATTGCTTTACTCAGATAAAGAAAACTAGAATGTATACAAACTAACAAAACAAGCTTACAGAATGTTTTTGTGGACAACCTGAACTATATTTAATATTTAAATATCAATAACACTGAACTGGTATCTTTTTTTTTCTTCTCTTAGGGACCCAGAGGTGAAAAGGGCTTTAGAGGTGAAACTGTAAGTTTAACTTAATTTGTGATTATTTATAGTATCCCTTGTCATGAAGCTGTCAGCTCCATGAAAGCAAGGACCTTATTAGGGTTGTTCATTACTATATCTCTGATAGTTGTGGAATAAAAATAAAATTGTAGTTGTCAAGAAGTGGAATTAACCTATGTGGATATTGCAGTGAAATATGATAAACTCTAAATATGTTGAAGAACCTGTCAATTACATTCTCCCCAGGTTAATTTTGTGAAATGCAGTGATTATCTGCTTTGTCAGGCATCAAAAGAGATAGGTCATCTTCAGATCTTAGCCATGCTAGCACAGTAGTGCTGCAAAGTTGCTTTCAGTACATACCCACTATATCCAGACAGCACTGACCAGGGCTGCATAGCAGAAGCAGATCATTAGTTGTATATTTCAGCCAACTAGAAACCATGGTATGAGGTTGGGAAAAAAGTACTTTCAGGACCTAAATAGTCCTGAAATGCACTATATCCCTATTTTCCAATTTAAGAAGATACTTTGTAAAGTGACCACTTCCCCAAAAAGATCATGTTAAGCTTTTTAAATAAAAAATTGATTGTGTATATTTAGAATGTATAACCTGATGTCATGCAATAGATATAGATAGTTTGAAGGTTATCATAGTGAAGCAAATTAACATATCTATTATCTCACATAATTGTTCTTTGTTGTTGTTGTTGGGGTATGTCATAATGGGCAAAAGGTATGACTTATGCAGTCGAGAGGGAGAAATAAAGAATATCCATGCACTTCTGCCCTTTTTAATGCTTTATTCACTCAAATCACTCAATACAATTTCACTCTATAGGTTCTTAATCAAGAAAATGACAATCCTTAATGCTAGGCACTGAATTGACATAATCAATTCACAGCAAACAATTCTAGACTAATTAATTCACAGCAAACCATTTTAGATTAATTAATTCTAAGCACTGCAAAAACACTTAATCATGACAGGCTAAAGTCAGACATTCCCTCTGCATGCTAAGTTCAAGTGTCAGATCAAAAGTCTCAACCCTTAGGCTTTAAGTCCATCAGATGCACTTTCACTCAGACCCTGGTGATCAGGTTCGGAACTAAGGCAGGCTTCTCTTGGGGTGGAACTGACAGCTGGTTGAGGTGAGGGTCATAGGGAGAAGTTGTAGCTCTCACTAACATCAAGATGTGGCTGTAGAGTTTGAGAGCAGTGAGGAAAATGCAGAGGATCAGCAAACAATGAAAGTGTTGGGATGTCAGTCCAGGTCCTCATCAGGTCTCAGCGTAAGGGCATCAGTATCGGCTGGCTGAATGACTGTTCATTTGCTCTATTATTTATACAAAATTTGGGGGCTTTTGACCCCCCTTTCAATCCTTATCAGCTACCACCAGATTTCTCAGTGACATCATTTACCCTGGGGTTAAAACATCTGGTCTGATGGTCCCCACCCTGATCTTTTCATGTTTCCCTCTTATCCAGAGGACAGCCTGCCAGAGGCTTCACTCTGAGTTTATCAGGGTGGGAAAAAGTGACTCTTTTGTGCCTGAGGGCGTGTCTGGTAAGACTGCTGGTTTTAAACTGGGGTTTTTTAAATAGAATTGCTTAGGCTCAGGCCTAAGGCCATCCTGGTGTGCTGGTGGTAGAGCACCTAAAATCTATTCTTGTGGCCTGGGATCCATGCTGACCTTATAGGGACATTCAGAGTGCTTGAGGCCCATAAGAATAAACTAAGATATCAGGAAAGCCATGATTAAAAGCTGATGAGGTTACATAATGACTCCAGAGATTTTTCTTTCTCATCATAGAGTATGCTTGGAACTCAGAATAAGTATGTTACAGTTATGTTAATTAGTTGAAAAGGGAAATTATGAGTTTTAGATAGCCTAAAAATTCCAAGTGGAACATTAAAGTAGATGTGTTAAATTTCTAGAAATGTGCCCTAACATTTTCACAGCAGACTTAATATTAACAGGAAGCAAGAACACACACACACACACACACACACACACACACACACAGAAGCTATATCCCCAGGAGCAGTGGGACTAAGAAAGAAAACCAGAAGTTTTAAAATTAGCTTAGTTTTTACACCTCTCTGGCTCTGCTTGCCTTCCTGACTTACCCTCTCCAAGTACTGTGGCTAGAACATAAACTTCCATAGGTTTAGTATACCTCGAGTACTTGTAGTATTTCATTTGAAAAAAAAAATGAGTGGATATGATGCATTACAAACTCAATGTATTGTAACTGCAATCTTCCTTGTAGAAATATGGCATCCAGACTGGGCGCGGTGGCACATGCCTGTAATCCCAGCGGCTAGGGAAGCTGAGGCAAGAGAATCATGAGTTCAAAGCCAGCCTCAGCAACAGCAAGGTGCTTAGCAACTCAGTGAGACCCTGTCTCTAAATTAAATACAAAATAGGACTGCGGATGTGCTCAGTGGTCAAGTGCCCCTGAGTTCAATCCTGGTACCAAAAAAAAAAAAAAAAAAAAAGAAATATGGCGTCCAGAATAAAGCAAGTAATAGCACCAGTCAGGCCATCCCCTTAAAGAGAAACAGACAGTTAATGCCCTTTCAGAGAACACCTCTCGTAGATTGGCAAAGGATCTGGGAAGACCAGTTGAAATATCTGGGGTATTTAGCCTCTTCCAGACTCTGCAGCCTAATCATATTCTTCTTGTTTGTTCTGCTCTCTCACTTCCTGGCTTGTGCACCTAGTAGGTGTCCCCTCTACTATATTTTTTGTATTCTTTATTTCTACTGACCTTGAAGTTTTGACTTAAAGATCATTTATATTACTCAGGGTGGAATTTCTGATATCTTTCCCTGCCCTACTCTCACCCCTGGAACTAGTGCAGTGCGTGGCACCTGTGCCTCAATTCTTTACTTAAAAGTCCTATTATCAGAGAGACTTTTGTAGCTAGCCTATGTTTAATAACAATGCTCCCATCTTCCTGAGACTCCTTATCTTTCCTTAGCCCATTTCCTTGCTACCTTGCATATTACATATGTATTTTTTATTGTCTCCCCTAACTAAAATGTAGTCTCCAACAGATGTTTTCAGTGTTGTTACTTGTTTGATGCTGTATACCCATCACCTACTAGCATTGTAAAATAGTTGGCATCCAATAAATATTTCATGAATTATTGGTAAATAGAGAAGTTTTAGAGTATTGAAACATAATGGTTGTCTTCAAATATTTAAAATGTTGCTTTATGAAAGGGAGCATAGATTAAAAAAAGTGAGTGACTGTTGAGGATAAAATTGAAACAACTTATTTATTAAACAATATTTTTAGTTTCTGTGCTTAGACCCCTGGGAGTAAGCTCCATAAAGGTGTGACTAGAGTCCAAGTCTCCCAGTTCACATGCAATTGTTTCTCTAGAAATCATTGTTCCTCTCAAAAAAATAATGATTAAGAACAATTTAGGTGAAAAATCTGTATCAAGAGTAGCCTAGCAGCTGGGTATAGTGGTGCACTCCTATAATCTAGCAGCTTGGGAAGCAGAGGCAGGAGAATTGCAAGTTCAAAACCAGCCTCAGCGACAGCAAGGCGCTAAGCAACTCAGTGAGACCCTGTCTCTAAATTTATAAAATAGGGCTGGTGATGTGACTCAGTGGTTCAGTGCTGAAAGAATTCCCCACGCAAAGACACTTCGCCGGGAGAATTCCAATTTTATTGCAAAAGGCTGTGTGCTTATAAGGGGGAGATGGTAGGGCTTAGATAAATGGCAGGCCACCCATTTATTGGCAAGTTCTTCCAGATATCAGCTCCAGAGCCCAGGAATTAGTTCTTATTGGGGCTAAGGTTCCCCGCCAGCGAGATTTGAAATTGGCGCTGGTGGGAGAGTTCACACGGTCAGGAACTTTTCGCGCCACTGCAGAAAAGAGGAAGGTAGGAAGAAGAGGTCCTTAGGCGCCATGTTGGGGTTTTTCTCTGGGGTGCAGCTGCCGTTTATACTTTTCCCAACAAGTGCCCCTGAGTTTAATCCCTGGGACAAAGAAAAAAAAAAAAAAGAGTAGCCTAGCCCTTCATGTGACAGCTTGAAGAATAGATTCCTGATTTAGCCATGTCCTAGGCTTTGTAACTCACTGGTTCTATCCTAGTTACATTACTACCTACTGACTCTTATTTAATATTACTAAACTCTCAAGTCCAAACCAAAGGAGCCATTTGCCCCTCCTATCCACAAGAGACATTTGACAATGTCTCTAAACATTTTTGATTGTTACAACTGGGAATAAAAGAGTTGCTAGTCGCTTGCAGTAGGCAGAGAAGAGACTGAGGATGCTTAACTATCCTGCAAGGGAAGCTCCTCAATTTATAAATGAGAAAAGTGAAACTCTGCAACTGAGCCTGGCAAAGTAGAGATCATGAAGTTAAATCAAGGTGACATTTCATAAAGGAAGTTATATAATGAAATGACATAAAGGATTTACATAAAGGAAAAGACTAATCTCTTCAGGTTTAAGGACATAAATTTATTGGTATTTTTAAAGTCTGATGATAAACTGTCACTTGAAAATCTTATATAAATTCTTGAATTAAAAAGAGAGAATCTATTGTCATTCAAAGGCAGTGTTTTCATCATAGCCAAATAAAACCAACATAACCATTCGTGTTAATTTGATTCTCCTTTAGGAAATCATCTTAATTCTATTATAAACTCTTTATATAGTACATATAAAATTGAATCACTTCTCAGTAGTTTATTAACTAGAGGAATGAAAAATACTAATGAAAACTTTCTTATTAGAATCATATTTTGTTTCATTTTACTACTTGACCTATTTTGTGCAGTTTTACATTGGGGTTGCCCTGCCCTGTCTTGTTGGGTTTGAAGTATTTTGTTTGATACTGACCTGTTCTGAGTATTAAGCCAAAATGAACTGAATAAAATCAGTAGTAGAAATATTTTCTTCATTCTCCTGTAATAAATTCCTCTTTCATAGTCAAATATAGGATATTTTTGTATTGAAACCTCAGTGAGATATTATGAATGTCAGAAACATCCTACATGGAGTAAAATATTATAGCTGTTTATCATTTTTACAATGTTGATCCAAAATGGAGAAACTTACACAGCAAAGTTCACTCTAAACCTCTTTATATTTAAAAGGCTATCTCTATTACAGCATTTCAGTAGTGAGGCATAAGTTTTATATATTCTCTGCTTAAGATTGTAATCGCAAACCATGCAAACTAAGAAATGTCCAGCAGGCAATCATGTTGGAATACTGTACCCTTTTTAAGTACTATGGGTTATTTGTTCTAGCTGTCACAGTGTGTTAAGAATCAACAGCGCTGACAATAAAATACTAAGTCAACCATAATGTCAAAATTACATAAAACTCAGGTGGAGATTACATTTTATTTGCATCTTATTACTAATAATCTGAGTTTGTCTCAATATTTAGCATTAACAAGTTGACTTTGAGCAAACATACAAGGCCTTAACAATGGTTGCTGTTTCATTTTGAAAAATGTCAGCATAACATTTGACATTTTACCATATACAGTTAAACTTTTCTAATTTCTAAATCAATATTAATTAATTTTATCAATAGTTCCCTCAGTTATTTGATAACAATTATCAAATACCTTCTATTAGGCACTATTCTTTTTCTAGAAAATGAAAAGTTAACTAAGATATTTTAAGTGTTCTTAGGGACTTTCCAGGATGTCTGTTCCATAGAATGCAAAAATAGATGAAAACAAGGGAGGTGGCATGGTGAATAAGCAAAGTGGACATGGCATGTTTAAGTACTATTGAACAATGGGCCTTAAACATATGAAGATGATAGATAGAGAGTATTCCATGTCAAGGAAATACCATAAAAGTGAATGACATAACTTGAAAGATTTGGTTATGGATATTGTATAGGGGGATGGTAAATGAAAATAAGGACCAAACCTTAAAAAGAGGCAGTAGTGCATGGTGACCAAGAATATTTATTTGTTTTTTGTTTGTTTGTTTGTTTGTTTGTTTATCATTTTGGCACTGAGGGTTGAACCCAGGGGTGCTTTATCACTGCATTATACCCCAACTCCTATTTTTATTTTGAGACAGGATCTAAGTTACCCAGACTGGCCTGCCACCTTCCTCAGCCTCCCAAGTAGCTGGGATTACAGGCATGGACCACTGCACCTGGTCTATATTTTGTATTTAATTAACTTGGATTTTAATCCTACCTCTTCGCCTTATTTGCTTGTAACTTAACTATTCCATGTTCTTTTGTAAAATGGAAATATAACTTGGTACATAGTAAGATCTCAGTAAATGGTAGGTATTCAAACTATTAAAAAAAATCATACTTTATTCTCTAAAAATTCCTGAGCCACTGAATGATTTAACTAAATAATGTCATTATTAGATTTCCATTTTATAAGTAGAATGCAGTTATCATAGCAGAAAAATAAAGTCAAAAAGTCTAATTAGAAGTACAGGCAAAATATTATGTATATGTAAATTCAGAAGTTATACCAAATTACCATAACTGGGGCTTAAATAACAAGCATTTACTTCTCACAGTTCTTGAGGCTGAGAAGTCTAAAAACTCAAGGTATCAGCTGAGTCCATACCTGGTGAGGGCCTTTTTCCTAGTTTGCAGAAACCACCTTCTTCTTGTATCCTCACAGAGAAGAGACAGATCACTTCCTTCACATCTCTTTTTATGTGGCTACTAATTTCATGTATGATAGCTGCACCCTTACGACCTAATTACCTCAAGCACATCAGGGCTTAGGACTTCAGCCTTTAAATTGAAGGGGACAAAAACATTCTATATACAGTCTGAACCAATACAGTTGCTGTGAAGATGGAGAAGTATTTTAAAAGAATGATGGTATCCATCTTATAGTATATGAAGAAAAAGGAGATGTCTAAGAACACTGAAGTTTCTACCTTTGATGACTAAGTGGGTGATAGGTAGAAATAACAGGAGAAACATGCTTAAACAATATTAACATTTTTAAATGTTGGCATTTATAATAGTTTATTAAAATGAGTAAATTTAGTTTCTAATAATATCAATAAAACAGGAACATACATATGGAACATATCATTCATGAATATGAATGATAGTTAAGTGCAAGAATTTTGAAATACTAAAGCAGTTTTGAATAATATGGCTTGCTTCATGAGTAAAGGCAATGGTAGAGGCTCAATCTTAGTTCTCTTGCTTACACCAAACCAAAAGCCATGCTTATACGTATCATGCTTTGTTTCTTTTTTTTTTTCAGGGTCCCCAAGGCCCAAGAGGCCAACCAGGGCCTCCAGTGAGTATATTTACATTTATATCCATTAACCATTGATGAAGATAAACTTGCTTTATTTGGGATGTCTACTAAATAAATAATTTTTAAAAATTTGTTATGTTGTAGGGGCCACCTGGAGCACCAGGTCCAAAAGTAAGTTTTCTTGGTTTAGTTTTTTTTTCTGTTAGAATGTCATATACTTTTTTAAGCTCCTTCTCTTAGTTCCCTATTAAAACTGTCCTTGAATCTCTCTGTTCTTCTTGCTTAGCTGATACAAAGCTAGCCCACCTATATGCTAACTTGAAATTCAAGCCTCAGACTTCTTATCTATAAAATGAAAATAGTATCTCCTACTTTTGGGGTGGTTTTGAATATTAAATAAGAAGTAAAGCATTTAACACAGTATATGACACTTATTAATACTGTGTTCAAAAAAATGCTACCACCTTCCATTTCTTCCTACTTCTGGGACATAGCTCTTCTTTTTAGATTTGTTGTTGTTATTGTTATTGTTGGGAAGGGTTATTTGGTTGTTGGTTTTTTTTTTTCAGTTTTGTTCTGTTTGTTTACCTTGCCAGCCAGAATTACTCATTTCTTAGGTTTTATATGAATTCTTAATTGCTGGTGAATGTAGAAAATCTCAGACTTCTCATGTATTTTCTTGTTACCTAACCTGCCCTTGTCTTTAAGGCAGCACTTCTGTTGCTTTGGCTTTATACCCTTGGCCTCTGATGTTCCAAGTTTGGTTTCTCTTAGGCTTTGTCTCCACTCTCATGGTTAGCAATTTCTTTCTTGTCCTGCTCCCTTCCAGAGGCCTCTCTTGAACCCCAACTTCATTCATATCCCATTTTCTTAGCCTGCTGGTCAAATACATTGGTGCATGGTCACATTTATTGTCCAAAAGATATCAACTGTTGACTATACTATCACAAACAATGGTCATTCCTATGCCTTCCAAGCAATAATTATTTCATATGTAGGTCCATTTAGATCTCTGATTTAGATCTCTGATAGTTTTAGATGGTTGTTCACTGTGGTCCACTCTCATTGCATCAGGAATTCTTCATTTCCCTTAGTTTTTCATTGGGACAAGAAATAAACTTTCAAGCAAGGAGCCATGAGGAAGATTATCTACTTGGAAAAAGAAGACCTATTTCTCTATGATTTTTAGAAATCACTTTGCTCTTCTGACCATCTGACTGATAGGTATTCCCTGCTAGAACCTTAATAGGATGTCTTTCTTCAAATCTTCAATTCACTCTTTATTTATCTTTTTTTTCCTTACCCTTGTCCTTGGGTTATGAGTGTGCTCATCAGTGACCTTTTCATCTTATAATGACTTTGATATATCATAGCTATCTTCCCAAGAAGTGGCAAGTTTTTTCTTTAGGTTAAATTAGATATTTATTACAAGAGCTTTCCTCATGAACATGCATCTAGATTTTTCCAGTTTATACAGTATTTTTATATGAAGTATCAAAACTCCTATAGTAAGGAGATCCTGGAATTCTCCTCACTATACTGATGAAAAATGAATTCAAAGAAGGTAAGTGACTTCCTGTGACTGAATGCTGAGAAGGCTCAGAAGGCTTAGGGCTTGAACTTCCAGGTCAATATTCTCTACACCTGACCAAGCTGTCCACGCTAGTGTGTTGAGCTCATTCTGCTGGCCCTGGCAGAACTGCCTTGAGCAGGTTCAGGGAGGAACTACAGAGGATGATGCTGCAGCAAGGTGGGAAGTCATATTTTTCATCTGTCAAGCCTGCTTAATCTCTGAGTAGTACTGCAATGTAGTGTTAACATCCAGGTACCTATGTGATACTCATCCACTCTCGCAGGAGTCCATCCAGGAGAGAGTCAGCATTAACTTGCCTCATGTGATAACCACTCTTTTTCATTTTAGTCTTCTTCATGTCCAAGTTTTAAAGAATTATATTTAATTGTCAAATTAGAGGTGTTTATTGAAAACTTGGGCTCATATCCCTGTCTTATTTGGAAAATGTGTATATTCCTAAAATGAAATAGGGTATATGAGAAATATGAATAGTAATATAAACTTTGAGGAATTACAAGTAGAATTAAATTAGAAAATACATATGCTTGACAAAGTACAGGTACTCAATAAATGTTAGTTTGTTTCCTTCTTTTCTTCCTTTCTCTCATTTTCTTGACCAATATGTAAACAAATTCCTATATATAATCTTTCTGGAACTTGCAGAATCCAGTGTGAGAAAGTAGCAGTGTACCCCTGCTGAGGATAAAACTTGTAGAGCAGAAATCTACATGACAATGTGAAGACACCAAAAATATTGTTTCCAAAGATGGCTTGTGATCATATCTTCTGTGAAACTCTTTTTAATTCCATCCTCTCACCACACTGAAAGGTAGAACTGATACTTTTTAATTCATACATGTTTATTTTCATGTTAGTCTCCCTACTAGATTGTGAGCTTTCTGGAGGTAGAGACTATTTTTTAACTTTCTTTTCCATTCAAGGCCTTAATAAGTGTTTATAAAATGAATGAATGCATACATTCAAAACACACACACACACACACACACACACACACATACACACACATACACCACACCCCACATCACATCTCCTGGAAATTTCAGAGTGAATCATCCAAACGAAAAAGTTTCGCTTAGAGATAACCAGTGTCTAGAATGGAATGAGTTCATATAATTAGAACTAGAAGCCTTCTCAGTAATTATTTGGCAATTATATCAGACTGTGAGTTGTGATTCACTGGTCAGTAGGCTATGAGAACAACTTAGTGAGTCTCATTCAGCATTCTTTTGAAATGAAACAGAATAGAAAAAAAATGGATAGTAGCTGCTTAATGAGTATGGGTTTTCTTTTTGGGATTATCAAAATGTTCTGAAAGTAGAGATTGGTAATGGTTGCACAACATTATTAGAATATATAAAAAACAATTGAATTCTACTTTTTAAATGGTCTATGTGGTGAATTTTATGTTGTAAATTTTACCTCAAGAAAGCAAACATTAAAAAAAATCAGTCTACCATCAATAGTAAGGATGTTGTATAAAAAATGTTTCAGTTTAATATATGTGAACCTTGTAATATAAAAGTCTGTTTCTTACAAAATAGATGTGTGTCAAGATAAGTTCGGAAACCTCTAGTCCAGTCTAACCCCTTGTGGAACTAAATTAGCTTGCTCAGGTTCCTAAAGAAGACCTAAAAGAACCTATTTCAGGAAAGGAAACATATGGCGATTCTGAATGTAAGAAAGGGTAATAATCAGACTTTAGTGTATGTTGTTAAGTTCTTAGAAACTAATAAAGAAATCTATTCTAGAATGTTAAGAGTTAAAAGTGATTGGCAGGGTAAAGGGAAAAACAGGTTGGGTATGTGTGTCTTGGTTTGATGTATGAGGTGGAAACAATAATCATTTAAAATTAGTAAATGAGATAAGGAATTCTAAACTTTATCCCAATTAAAAGTCAAATATAGAACTTCAATTGGGACTTAAGAGGGGGCAGCTGCTGGTACAGTTCCCTAGAGCCAACAACACCTCCACATGGAAAAGGTGAAATTAATTCCTAATTAATCAGTTTTTCATTTCACCATCCAGTCATCTTGAGATTTCAGAAGTTTGAAAATACTCAAAACACTAAGGTGCCAAGACTAGATCTATGTTCTACTCAAATAAATTAGGAGAAAATTGTGAAGATTACATTCCCTAAAATATAATGGATCCCCCTAATTCTCCTCATTATTCCAGACTGTGAGGTGACTCACTAAGTTATAACAATCTGGTCACTCTTCGTTTGTGTTTTTCATTTTACATGCTTGTTTTTAAAACATTGAGAAACTTTCATGTAGTAATATGTTCTCTTTAACTAGAGTACATAGAGGAAGCAATTTTCATGGACCCCCTCCTTCACTGTACTGAATGACTTCCTAGACAAATCCTCTTAATACAATCTGTCCAGGCCTTCCCTCCCTAAAGGATATCCTTGGAGAAAAAAATTAATAAATTCAACACATAGAATTACTGCTGTATGTTAAGCATAAACTGGGCTTTGGGAATAGAGTGGGAATTACAGAAATACAAACTCACTGAGAAAATTCACAAGTGACCTAGTGCTGTGAAATTCCTTTTCTTTCTAATGCCTACCCCAAAAAAATACTTTTAATAAGTTTTAATTTGCACTAATAGTGGTTAAAATTGCTGCTACATTAGCATGAATTAAGTACCAAACCATACACTACTAATCTAGTAATAGTCATTCCATTCTTCACTGCCACACACTCAAAGAAAATAAGTCAGTCATGTCACTTAAGAATACCTGTAATCTGTTCAATCCATTTCTGTTGGTAAGCACTTAAATTGTGTCTAATCTTTTGTAAATAACAAATGCCCTGTCGTTATACATATCACTTTACATAGGTATATATAATTTTCTGTATGTAGAATATCTATAGCACCATCTCCCAAAAGTGAGATGGTTGGCACTAAGGGATAAGGACCATATTTATTTATTATTTTTAATTACGGTAAAATATACATAACATAAAATTTACCTTTTTAACCTTTTGTAAGTGTAACTCAATGGCATTAACTACATCATTGTGCAACTATCACCACCATCCATCTCTATAACTTTTTTCATCTTCCAAAACTGAAACTCTGTATCCATTAAAGAATTACTCCCAATCTCTCCCTTTCCTAAGCCCCTGGCAACCACCATTCTACTTTCTGTCTCTATGATCTTAACTACTCCAGGTAACTGCATTTAAGTCAAGTCATACAATATTTATTCTTTTGTGACTGACTTATTTCATTTTTGATAGTGACTTTGTGATTCATCCATATTTTACACATGTTAGAATTTCACTTCTTTTTAAGGCTAAGTAATATTCCATTGAATTTATATATTTTGTTTATCCAGATGGACAGTTAATGTTGCTTCCACTTTTTGGCTAATGTGACTATTAATACTATGAATATAAATATATAAATATCTGAGTCCCCATTTTCACATCATTTGGGGGTATACCTCAAAGTGAAATTGTTGGATCATATAATAATTCTATGTTTAAATATTTGAAAACTGACATACTTTTTCTTTAGCCCCTTACTACTTTGCAGTCACACTAGCAGTGCACATGGGTTCTGATAT